TTTTCCCCGGTTAGCTACGGTGGGGGTGGGAAGAGGCGGGAAGCCCTGGGAGGAGGTGGGAGGACCAGTTCGACACTACACTACGACTCTACACTATCTTCACTAGTGTGGTGTCATGTCCACGCGACAGTGACACTACACCACGACACTACACTAAGGTCTAGTCTGGTGTCATAGTGTAGTGTCAGAGGATACCAGGTGTGACACTGCACTATGATACTACAGTACGGCTGGGGAGGAAGAGACGGACGACATTGTTTTTCTGTCTGGTTTTCCTTAGGTTTTGCCCAACTCGACTCCGCGAGAGAGGTCTCCCAGCTGCGGTTAGTGTGGTGTCATAATGTAGTGTTGGAGGCGCCGGAGAGCGACACTTCACTACGACACTACACTATCTTCACTAGTGTGGTGTCATGTCCACGCGACAGTGACACCACACTATAACACTACACTAACTTTTAGTATGGTGTCATAGTGTAGTGTCAGAAGATACCAGGTGTGACACTACACTATGACACTACAGTACGGCTGGGGAGGGAGAGACGAACGTTGTTTTTCTGTCTGGTTTTGCTTCGGTTCTGCTCACCTCGACTCTGCGAGAGAGGTCTCTCCGCTGCGGTTAGTGTGGTGTCATAGCGTAGTGATGGAGGCGCCGGGGAACGACACTACATTATGACACTACACTACGGCTGAGGAGGGGAAACGGATTTGTTTGTTCGGTTAGCTACGGTGGGGGTGGGAAGAGGCGGGAAGCCCTGGGAGGAGGTGGGAGGACCAGTTCGACACTACACTACGACACTACACTATCTTCACTAGTGTGGTGTCATGTCCACGCGACAGTGACACTACACTACGACACTACACTAAGGTCTAGTCTGGTGTCATAGTGTAGTGTCAGAGGATACCAGGTGTGACACTACACTATGATACTACAGTACGGCTGGGGAGGAAGAGACGGACGACGTTGTTTTCCTGTCTGGTTTTCCTTAGGTTTTGCTCAATTCGACTCCGCGAGAGAGGTCTCCCAGCTGCGGTTAGTGTGGTGTTACAGTGTAGTGTTGGAGGCGCCGAGGTGCGACACTACACTATGACACTACACTACGGCTGAGGAGGGGAGACTGAAGTTGTTTTTTCCGGTTAGCTACGGTGGGGGTGGGAGGAGGCGGGAGGACCTGGGAGGAGGTGTGAGGACTCGGGAGGGCGCGGCGGGTACAGCTAGATAGTGTACTGTCATGGTGTAGTGTCGCACCCCCAACTCTACACTATGACACCAAACGAACCGTAGTGTAGAGCACTCTCTCGCGGAGCCGAGCCAAGCTAAACCCTAAGGAACAGCAAGCGTAAAACAAGCTCTTCCGCCCCGCCCTCCTCAGCCGTAATGTAGTGTCATAGTGTAGTGTCGCACCCCGGTGTCCCCAACACTATACTATGACACCACAGTAACCGTGGCGTAGAGTCCTCTCTCGCGGAGCGGAGCAAATCAAAAGCCCTACGGAACAGCAGACAGAAAAACTCAGCCCCCCTCCTCGGCCGCAGTGTAGTGCCACAGTGCAGTGTCGCACCCCGGTGTCTCTAACACTATACTATGACACCATAGTAAACGTAGCGTAGAGCACTCTCTCGCGGAGCGGAACCAGTCAAAAACCCTACGGAACAGCAGGCAGAAATTATCCTGGCGAAGGACCCAACCACAAGCAATTGTGAATACCGCAATTGTGAATATCTCTTCGGTGGCGCTCCCTATGGGGCCACGAAACGTGTGAGGGGTGTGCCGAAATGGGTGCGCGGGACGCGTGCGGGCACACCCACTGGGACCTTCGGTGGAGCTCCCTATGGGGCCACGAAACGTGTGAGGGGTGTGCCGAAATGGGTGTGCGGGACGCATGCGGGCACACCCACTGGGACCTTCGGTGGAGCCCCCTACGGGGCAACGAAACGTGCGAGGGGTGCCGAAATGGGCGTGCGGGACGCATGCGGGCACACCCACTGGGGCCTTCGGTGGAGCTCCCTATGGGGCCACGGGACGTGTGAAGGGGTCCCGAAACGCGTGAGGGGTGTGCCGAAATGGGTGTGCGGGACGCATGCGGGCACACCCTCTGGGGCCTTCGGCGGAGCTACTATGGGGCCACGCAACGTGTGAATAGCATGCCGAAATGGGTGTGCGGGACGCATGCGGGCACACCCACTGGGACCTTCGGCGGAGCTCCCTATGGGGCCACGAAACGCGTGAGGGGTGTGCCGAGCTGGGTGTGCGGGACGCATGCGGGCGGCAGCACTGACGCCTTCGGTGGAGCTCCATATGGGGCCACGAAGCGTGTGAATATTGTGCCGAAGTGAATGTGCGGGACGCGTGCGGGCGCACCCAGCGGGACCTTCGGTGGAGCTCCCTTTGGGGCCACGAAACGTGTGAGGGGTGTGCCGAATTGGGTGTGCGTGACGCACGCGCGCGGCAGCACTGGGGCCTTCGGCGGAGCTCCCTATGGGGCCACGAAGCGTGTGAGGGGTGTGCCGAATTGGGTGTGCGTGACGCATGCGGGCGGCAGCGCTGGGGCCTTCGGCGGAGCTCCCTATGGGGCCACGCAACGTGTAAGGGGTGTGCCGAATTGGGTGTGGGTGGCGCATGCGGGCGGCAGCACTCGGGCCTTCGGCGGAGCTCCCTATGGGGCCACGAGACGTGTGAAGGGTGTGCCGAATTGGGTGTGCGTGACGCGTGCGGGCGGCAGCACTGGGGCCTTCGGCGGAGCTTCTACTATGGGGCCACGAAAAGTGTGAGGGGTGTGCAGAATTGGGTGTGCGTGACGCATGCGGGCGGCAACACTGGGGCCTCCGGCGGAGCTCCCTATGGGGCCACGAAACGTGTGAGGGGTGTGCCGAATTGGGTGTGCGTGACGCATGCGGGCGGCAGCACTGGGGCCTTCGGCGGAGCTCCCTATGGGGCCACGAAACGTGTGAGGGGTGTGCCGAATTGGGTGTGGGTGACGCATGCGGGCGGCAGCACTGGGGCCTTCGGTAGAGGTCCCTATGTGATCACGAAACGTGGTGAGGGGTATGCCGAATTGCGTGACGCATGCGGGCGGCAGCACTGGGGCCTTCGGCGGAGCTCCTATGGGGCCACGAAACGTGTGAGGGGTGTGCCGAATTGGGTGTGGGTGACGCATGCGGGCGGCAGCACTGGGGCCTTCGGCGGAGCTTCTACTATGGGGCCACGAAACGTGTGAGGGGTGTGCCGAATTGTGTGTGGGTGACGCATGCAGGCGGCAGCACTGGGGCCTTCGGCGGAGCTCCTATGGGGCCACGAAACGTGTGAGGGGTGTGCCGAATTGGATGTGGGTGTGCCATGCCGGGCGACGCATGCGGGCGCGGGCACTGGGGCCTTCGGTGGAGCTCCCTATGGAGCCACGAAACGTGTGAGGGGTGTGCCGAAATGGGTGTGGGTGACGCATGCGGGCGCGGGCACTGGGGCCTTCGGTGGAGCTCCCTATGGAGCCACGAAACGTGTGAGGGGTGTGCCGAAATGGGTGTGGGTGACGCATGCGGGCGCGGGCACTGGGGCCTTCGGTGGAGCTCCCTATGGAGCCACGAAACGTGTGAGGGGTGTGCCGAAATGCGGTGCACTGGACGCCGGTGGAACCACGAAACGTGTGAGGGGTGTGCCGAAATGGGTGTGGGTGACGCATGCGGGCGCGGGCACTGGGGCCTTCGGTGGAGCTCCCTATGGAGCCACGAAACGTGTGAGGGGTGTGCCGAAATGGGTGTGGGTGACGCATGCGGGCGCGGGCACTGGGGCCTTCGGTGGAGCTCCCTATGGAGCCACGAAACGTGTGAGGGGTGTGCCGAAATGGGTGTGGGTGACGCATGCGGGCGCGGGCACTGGGGCCTTCGGTGGAGCTCCCTATGGAGCCACGAAACGTGTGAGGGGTGTGCCGAAATGGGTGTGGGTGACGCATGCGGGCGCGGGCACTGGGGCCTTCGGTGGAGCTCCCTATGGAGCCACGAAACGGTGTACTGGGTGGGTGAAGAGGAGAGGAGGAGAGGAGGGGAGGAGAGGAGGAGAGGAGAGGAGAGGAGAGGAGAGGAGAGGAGAGGAGAGGAGAGGAGAGGAGAGGAGAGGAGAGGAGAGGAGAGGAGAGGAGAGGAACGCGGGGCACCGTCTCTTCAAAACGAGGACCCAACACCACAGGATGGTTGGGAAAAACTCAGCCCCCCTCCTCGGCAGCAGTGTAGTGTCATAGTGTAGTGTCGCACCCCGGTGTCCCCAACACTATACTTAATGTAGTGTCGTACTGTAGTGTTACACGCAAGGGTTCTGGACACTACACTATGACACCACACTAACCATAGTGTAGTGTCATACTGTAATGTCACAGGCAAGGGTTCTCGACACTACACTATGACACCACACTGACTTCATTCTCTTCACGAAGAGTGCCAAGTCACGAGTAAGATTAACTCTCGCCAGAGTTTCACGAACTCCCATCATCAGCGTACCAGAAGTCGTGCTTTGAAAAGATTCAGGATTATGAGGGCACCACAGTCAAGTTGATTCGCAGTCTTGAATTCCCAGGAATGGTGTTCTGGCACGATTCAAGGGCATCAAGACGCAACAGTCAGGCTGATCTGTGGCGTTGCAATCCCGACGACAATGTTTTGGCATGATTCAGGGTCTTCAAACGGTTGCCTTCCAACGAGGCAGTTCCCTGTGGAAATGCACCGTTGTAGTGGCCAATGAAGAGGGAGCACGGCGGGAGGGTGTGTTCCACCATCGTTGATGCGTCTTGGGGTTTCACTGGTCCTCCTCCTTCTCATCATCCTCCTCCTCCCCTCCTCCCTCCATCTTCCCTCCCTCCCTCCTCCTCCTCCTCCTCCTTCTCCTCCTCCTCCTGACCCCTTCCTCCCCTCCGTCACCTCTCCTCTGCGTCCCCCCTCTCTTTCCCCCGCCCCCATCCCTTTCCACCCCTACCGCTCTCCCTCTCATTTCCATATCCCGTTCACGGCTGCGCGACCTCCTCTGGAAGCCAATCCAGAGTCGCGCTCGAGCCCTTCTCCTTCAGCTTGGCCTCCGCGCGCAGTGCAGGACGGGAGGGGTTGGGAAAGGAGCGCGTGAGCAACTGCTGCCTGCTGCACGCTGGCTGCCGACTGCTGCCCGCTGCCCGCGGCCCACTGCCTCATGCTGTTGCCTCCTGCCCGCCGCGTGCTGCTGTCGCTTGCTGTTTGCCTGTTTGCTGCTGCTGTCTGCTGCCTGACGCCTGATCTCCATCCTGCATGCTTCTTCGCCGCTCCTCCTGCCCATATTCCCTTCCGACATCTTCATCATCGATCGCACATCTTCCCTCCTGTCCCCCTCATCCCTCACCTTGGCTCCCGTCCTTCCTTCTACCTCTCCACCGTCCTCCCTTGCATTCCCTATCCCCCTCCTGCTCCTCCTCATCCTCACCCTCCTCCTCCTCCTCACCACACCACCACCACCACCACCACAACCACTACCATCACCACCACCACCACCACCACCACAACCACTACCATCACCACCACCACCACCACCACCACCACCACCACCACCACCATCATCATCATCATCATCATCATCATCATCATCATCATCAACAACAACATCATCATCATCATCATCATCATCATCATAAGCATCATCATCATCATCAGCAGTAGCAGCAGCATCATCATCATCATCATCATCATCATCATCATCATCATCATCATCAGCATCATCGTCATTATCATCAGCCTCATCATCAGCATCAGCATCAGCATCAGCATCTCATCATCATCATCATCATCATCACCATCATCATCATCATCATCATCATCATCAGCATCATCATCATCATCATCATCATCATCATCATCATCATCATCATTTTCATCATCAGCATCAGCATCATCATCGTCGTCATCATCATCAGCAGCAGCATCCTAATCCGCATCATTATCAGCATCATCATCACCATAACAGCATCATCATCATCATCAGCATCCTCATCAGCAGCAGCATAATCACAAGCATCAGCCTCATCCACAGCATCATCATCATCATCATCATCATCATCATCATCATCGTCTTCATCGTCTCCATCATCATCAGCAGCATCATCATCGTCATCACCATCATCCTAATCAGCAGCAGCAGCATCACCATAACCATCAGCAACAGCAGCATCAGCATCAGCATCATTATCATCATCATAGCATCATCATCATCATCACCAAGATCGTCATAATCATAAGCCTAATCAGCATCATCATCATCATCTTCACCATCATAATCAGCATCGTCATCATGTTCAGCATGATGAACAACATCAGCGGCACCAACATCGGCATCATCATAATCAGCATCATGGTCATCATCATCATCATCATGATCATCATCATCACCACGATCATAATCATCATCATCATCAGTACCATCATCATCGAAATAATCATAAGCCTAATCATCATCATCATCGCCATCAATAGCACCATCATCATCAGCAGCAGCATCAGCATTATGTGCAGCATGATCATCATCATCATCAGCAGCATCAGTATCGTCATCATCATCATAATCAGCATCATCAACACCATCGTCATCACCAACATGGTCATAATCAGAGCCTAATCAGAGTCATCATCTGCACCATCATCAGCATCATTTTTATCATCAACATCAACATCATCATCATCATCGGCAGCATCAGCATCGCCATCACCATCATCAGCATCAGAATCATCGTCATCAACAACATCATCCCCAGCATCGTCATAATCATAAGCCTAAGCATCGTCATCATCATCGTCATGACTGCCATCCATAATCTACCATCTACCACCATCAGCAACAAAGACAACATCATCATCGTAATAATCAGCAGCAGCAGCACCGTCATCATACTCATCAGCAGCATCATCAGCATCGGCAGCATGATCATCATCAGCAGCAGCATCATGATAGTCATCATCATCATCATCATCATCAGCAGCATCATCACCAGCGCAAGCATCATCCACATCATCATTACCATCATCATCATCATCATCATCATCATCATCACCATCATCAGAATCAGCACCAGCATCATCATCCTCATTCCTCCGTCGCTGCATACATACATCAAGACATCTGCTCCCTACCCGTCTCCATATTCCTCGTCATCGTAATCAGCATCATCATCACCATCATCATGAGCAACATCATCATAATCAACATCATCATCGTCATCATCATCACCACCATCATCATCATCATCATCCGGAGCAGCATCATCATCTTCACCACCACCACCAGCATCATCATGATCATAATCATCGTCGTCGCCGTCGTCGTCGTGGTCGTCATCGTCATAAGCAGCATAATCATCGGCAAAAATATCGCCATCGTCCGTATCATCATCAGCATCATCACCATCATCATCACTCAAATCATCATCATCATCATCATCATCATCATCATCATCATCATCATCATCATCACCATCAGAATCGTCAGTATCGTCATCATCGTCATCATCGTCGTCGCCATCAGAAGCATCATCGCCAGCAACATCATCGTCAGCATCATCGTCAGCATCATCAAGATCAGAAATAATCGTAATAATCATCATCATGATGATCATCATCATAATCCTCATCAGCAGCAGCATCATGCCAATCAGCATTCGCATCATCAGTCTCAGAGTCAGCATCTTCGTCATCAGCATCACCGTGAATATCATCATCATCTGCAGCAGCAGCATCGTCAGCATCATCAGCATCGACATCATCGTCGTTATCATCATCGTCATCGTCATCATCACCGTCGCAATCACAATCGCCATCGCCTTCATCAGATTTCTGATCCACTACCTCCTCGTCCACCGTCATCTCCTCATTCTCCTGATCTTTTCTATCCCCCCCCTTCGCACCTATCATCCTTCTCCATCCTCCTCCCTCGATCGTCATTCGAACCTCCTCATCTTCATTCATCCTTCCTCTTTCGGCTCTGCTCCTGATTCCACCCTCCGCCCCCATACCCTGACTCCGCAGCCCCCTCCCTATCTCGACCCATCTATCTATTCACATCTGTACATGTCTACATACATGTGTGAATGCAAATGTGCATGTGCATGTGTGTACTTTTCCTCATCCTCATCAGCCACCTGGGTCCACATCCCCCTCCCCCAGTACCACCTCCACATGCTCATCTTGACCATCCCTCTTCATCCCTCCACGATCCCTCATGATCATCATCCTTACCATCGCCCTCGTCCCCGCCATATGGTTCACCGTCATCATCATCGCCATCGCCACTATCAGCATCATCACCATCATCGTCCTCAGCATCGCCATCCCCATTGTCGGAATATTCCCCTTCACAATCGTGCGTCGTACTGCGCAATATCATCAGAATCAACATACCCAACATCGCCAACGCAACACTCTTCCCTACAATCATGGTCCGCATTGTCGTGGCTTCACCATCACAGCATCGTCGCTATCATTAGCAATATCGTTACAACGACCATCATCACCACCATCGTCGTCATGTCCGAAACTTTTTCCGTCATTAGCGTCATCGTCATGTCCGTCGACATGATCGTCACCATCGCCATCTTAATCGCGATCATCATCAACATGGACATCGATACAGCATTCGTCCACGAACTGCGCACCCAAAACGCTAACGAGGCATCAACGCGCGATCGCGCCCGCGCGCGCATGCCTTCAGCTGCTTGCGGCACTGCTTCCAAACCTCTGGTGTACAAGTGCTCAGCTTCTGCACCTTCGCCAACGTGCGGGGGGGGAGGTCGGCGGTTTCCTCCCTCCCTCCATCCATCCTCCCTCCTCCCTCCTCCCTCCTCCCTCCTCCTCCTCCTCCCCCTCCTCCTTCTCCGTTTCCTCCCTCCAGCAACTTGGGCTCAAGCCATTTGGCAGCAGCCCAGTCCCTGCACCTCCCAGTGGTGCTTGCGGGATTTCCTCGTGGCCCCTTGCCACGGTCGCGAAGTTGACCAAGTCAGGGAACACATCGAGCGATGGTATCTCGGCAACGCACGAGCAGTGATATGCGTGCTTCGTCCAGGCCCTGGAGTCGGCGTGTGCATTGCAAAACGTGTGAGTCAACGATAAGCTTGTCTTCCTGCATCGCCAGTGTCCGAACTGCAAAAAGACGATCCGTCTGTATGAGCCCAAGTCGCCCGACAACAAGTCCGTGTCTTTCTCCGAGGAAGCGCTCGTCGTGAGCGAGCCTGTGGCGGGTACGGGCCGTGGTGGTTCAGGAGGGCGCAGCCCGCGCAACCGCAGTCCAGCTCGCGGTGCCAAGGACAAGAATCGCCAGCAATTGCAGTCGCTGCTGGAGAAGGCCGTGCAGGTGGCAGCCGGCGACCAGAGCCTCAAGACTAGGCATGCAGAGCAGGTCGAGATGGTCAAGGCGCTGGCTAGCGAGCCGCAGGCCGTGTCGGCAGCGGAGGCAGTGCGATACGGTGATGGACATTACAGTTCACTGTCCCATCATCGCGACCAGCTAGTGCCGCACACCTTCGTCTGCGCAAGCAGCTCATGAGTGCGGAGGACAGGGAGCAGAAAGCAGCTCTGGAGGCAGCCAGGGCTGAGGTGATGAAGAAGCGGGCTGCGGAGGCTTTGGCGCAGGCTGAGGGTGCAGCAGCAGCCAAGGCCCAGCAGGCCCCCGAGGACGAGCCCGCCTTCCCTTCTGAAGATCAGCAGCAGTATTTTGTACTTGTTTTTTCTATCTCGCGCTGCGCAAGCTTTTCCTGGCCGGTGACCAAACCACCGCGACTGCTGTCCAGATCAGCAGCGGTATTTTCGACGGGTGCGAGGACATGGCGCGCGAGCAGGGCGGCGAAGACCCGCTCACAGCGCTGAAGAGGGACCCCAGGTCCTACCAGACGGCCTTCGCGTCCAAGGACGTGGAGCCTGCGCGCCTTCTTTAGGCGGCGAGCCAGGGGGGGAAATAAGAGGGGCGTACCTTCTCAGAAGGCTCGGAAGTCCCCCGGACTTCTGAGAAGTTTTCTAAGCCTTCCCCGAACACAGAAAAAACTTCTGCGAAGGCGCGAGGGCTTCTGAGAAGTCCCGCCACCTTCTGAGAAGGCCTTCTCCTTCTCAATTCCCCCCCTCGCTCGCCGCCAATTCTTGGAGAAGATGGACAGGCTCGAGAGGGAGGTCGTCGAGCGCACGGAGAAGAGGAGGAGAGTGCAGGAGGGTGCTGACAGGGAGTCGTCGGTGGCAGAGGGCGGATCCCCAGGCACCCAGGACCCGACGCCAGGCACGCAGCCTACGTCGGGAGGCGCGGCAGGCTCGAGCGGAGGCCACCTGCGGCAGGCGCCGCGCCCGCTGATCAACCAGTGGACAAGGACGTTGCGGCGGCGGCTGCGATGTCCAAGGCGACGTTCGACGCCGCCAGCAAGGTAGCCGAGCGCAAGGGCGTCGGCAAGGGGCAGGTTTCAGCAGATGGTGTTGCCAATCCTGTCCCTGAAGGCGCTAATGACAAAGATCTGCGGCTAGGGACCTCGAGTCCGGAGAGTACCAGGTCAAGTACGGCAACTTCTGTGGCGGCAGCGTCGCTTGGGTCAGGCAGTCCTCCAGGCACTGCTTCAACTTCAAAGTTCACGACTGTTTTGTGGGAATGTGGCTTGCATGGGTGACAAATGTTGGGAGCATTTACGTGCTCTACGTGAAAGTCATGATTATGTAGCAGTCTGTGAGTCTCACGCGCATTCTAAAGAATTGGGAAAGTGGAAAGCCAAGGCCAGGACCAGCTTCTACCAGCTCTTGGCCAACAGTGCGAGGCGCAAAGGACGATGGCGTCAAGCACATCTTTCACGGCAAGAGAGAGCGAATGAGGGAGGAGAATGGCTTCTGGTTCGGAACCATCGGCCAGCACAGGTGTTAGACGCGGCTCGGAGTGCACCAGGCTTGCTAGCCGAGCGCAACAACGCCTTCGACGGCTTCCGCTCCTGTCTTCTTCACATGAAAGAATTTTCTATCGTCGCGTGCGTCATGCACGGACATTCGAGCATAGGTTTCTCGGGAAACATTGTGCAGCGGTTCCGCAAGCTCGGCAAATCACTCGCCGCTGTCCAGCTACCGTGGATCGCCATCGGAGACTGGAATCTCACGCCCGAGAAGTTGCATGCGTCAGGATTCCTTGAGAAAGTGAACGGCACGATTGTCAAGTCTGAGCTTGAGTACACGTGTATTGTAGGTGAGAATAGGCCGTCACACATAGATTATGTAGTCACTTCTGAGGCGGTCAGACCATCTATTGAGTCTCGGAAGGGAATCGTAGATGTACCCTGGAAGCCACACGTCGGGCTCAGTTTGGAGCTCGTGTCTGAGGGTAGCCAGTTGTACACTCGATCTCTCGAACCCCCCCACCCACCTCCCCTCCGCGGCTCGCCCTGCCCGCCAGCCCATCGAGGAGCCCAAGTCTAGCACGGCGAAGGCCGAGCGTAGGGTGGCCCAGCAACTAGCCAAGCAGCGCAGGAACGACATGATTCGCGAGTGGTTTCCCGTGGAGCGATCGTCGGATAAAGAAGGGGAGGGCCGGTCCCAGGCGGGCGCCAGCGACACCGAGACAGGAATCGGTGAACTGGAAGAGCCCTTCGGCGAGGCCTCGGACAGCGAGGAAGACCCCTGGGCCTTCGAGCCCAACTTCGGCCCCGACCCGACCGCCCTCCCCCCGATTGTCGCCTCTGCTGCACCAGTGCCTCATGATCAGTCAGACTGCCAAAGTAAAGATAGCCAGATCAATTCGAGTGAAAGTGTGATGAGAATTCGGCCCAGCGTGAACACCCTACCCAGACAGGATGCCCCGATACGTCGTCTCACACGCCATCGCCCCAGGCGAGCTCGGGGCCTTGAGAGCCCATGACTTAACATCCTTGAGGAAACCTGGGCCCAGCAGCGAAAGGAAGTTGGTTTTCCCCCTCGGGGTTACACCCGCCTGCTGCTGCTGTTGCCAGCACCGTAGCCTTCGCCCTTGGCCCAAGCTTTTGCGATAGAATTAGGAGTCTCTTTGGAGCTTGTATTCGAGCCGTCGAGCTCACAATTGCAAAAAAAAAAAACAAAAAAAAAAAACTCTGGGAAGATCGAGAGCATCGGGACCCCAGTTTCGCACCCATACTGTATTGTAGGCCACTCCTGCTCGCATCTCGCCGTTGAGGGATCGCGTCAGCGGTTGGTGGACTCGAGTTCACACTGTTGTGGAGTCTTACGCCAGGCTTCGCGACTAAGGTCGAGGTGAAAAGCAGCAAAGGATCTTGCTCGAGGCCAGCCAGCAGTTGTGCGCCACGGCTCCCGAGCAGGCTCATCAAGCCATTCGGCATAAGGATGTTTTTCCGCGGCAGCAGTGGCTCGATGCTTTGAAGCAACTCGAGCAGACCGAGGATGGTGCACTGCAGAGGATTGTTGATTTGAAAGAAAAGCTCACCCTCGGAGTCAGCAACGAGTCATCAACCGGTCGATCGCCGAGTTTCGTGAGTGGACGGAGTCTTCTGCAGCTGCAGCCACACTACACCACGAGCTTCGGGGCCCACCAACCATACCCACGGAGTTTCTCGACGGCGATTAGGCGACACAGCATCCACGGGACATCATGGATAAGAAGGGGGAGAGCTGGGCCCAGCTATGGGCGCCAAAGGGTCAGGATCTCCAAGGATTGCCAGACCTCTTCACCGACATCAGACGTCGAGTGCGAGAGGAAGCTCTTCCTGAGCTCACGGGGCAGTAGCTTCGCGAAGCAGGACGGAAGATGAAGCATACAGCGGCGATGGGAGCGGATCGGATCAAGGCAGTGGACGTGGATCGGCTTCCTGATTCGGCGTTGGACGAGCTAGCAGCGGCGTTGGCAGTATGTGAGAGTTGCCAGGCGTGGCCCCACCAATTCCTCCTGACGATCGGCACCCTATTGTCGAAAAAGGTCAAGGGTGATCGGGTGAGCGGCCTGCTGCACACAGCGCGGCCGTGGCCACAGGCGCGGGAGCCCTGGGTCCGCACTTGGGCCCAGGAGTGCGAGGCTCCCTGGGATGCTGCAGCGCGCGGCAATGCGGCGTTGCAGGAGGCATTTCTACGCGTGGTGGACGAGGAGCTGGCGGCCCGCATTGGCATTGCCCATGGTAACGGGCTGCTGGACATCGCCACCTTCTACGATTCCATAAGCTAGATGCGCCTCACCAAGACCGCGTTGCGGCTGGAGTTTCCTGCCGAGGTGATGGGGCTAGAGTTGTCGCAGTGCACGGCGTCCAGGTGTTTGCGACAAGCGGGAGCGCACTCGTCTGTCATCGATCCCACAAGATCGGTGGTGCAGGGGCTTCGGTCGGGCACATGTTTCGCCAAAGTGGTAACATTTTTCACCATGCTCAAGATGACCACGGTCCACGTGGGCATGTCAGATCGGCTGTGGATGGATGGTTTGAGCCAGTCTCTGAAAGGGTCTCGTCGAGCAGTTCGCGATCGTCGAGTGGCCTGTTTGGCACAAACGCGCGCGAGCATGGATGAGCAGGGCCTGAAGACCTCCCCTCCCCCCCAAGAGCGTCGTGATCTGCACCAAGATGATCGACGCTAAGGAGGTCGTCAGGCGCCTCAAGATCACGGGGTACGCGGTGCAGGCTGCTGCTCAGGCGCCTTGTTCGGAGACGGACCTCGGCGGAGGAAAGGCCCATGCCAGGAGGTGCCGCACTGCGAGAGTGGCCAAGCATGAAGCATGCACGCCAAAGTGGTGAGGTATGCTTGCAGGGATCGGCGTTACAAGCTCACTGCAAGGCTGGA